TTTTCATTTCGACTACACTAGTTTTGCCGATTCCATCCATACCTCTAGCGAAACATTCTCGGAATTCATCCATCACCTCTAACAGCTTTCCCTTAGATTCTGAATTCACAGTGTCCATGCACACGTCATCTTCCGTTATTGGACTAAGTTTATTAATTTTACACGTCGTTTTTACTTTGTCATCGAATTTGAACTGTCCGTTGTCATATACGGCGCGTATATTTTCGCTATTGAATATTTCGTCCCCGAGCAATAGCTCGTAATTCAACACACAATCTTTGAAGACGTGCAACGTCAACGGTTTTTCAACCTCATCGATTTTCAAATCCGTGTCGATTTGTATCTCAGATCGTTCTATACCACCACCGAATCCACCGATGGTAAATAGGTTTTTGCTGCGCGTACCACCAATATCGTTGGCAAATGTTTCTCGGACCATATTACATTCGCTTCCAGTATCAATAAATGCAATGGCTTGCTTACCACCAATCGTTATTTTCTTAAAAAATTTATTGTCGATAATACTTGTTTTTCGCACAAAAGCTGATGGTTTTCCGCAATTTTGCTGCTCATTTTTGGGGTGCACCTTATTACAATCTATACAACGAGGACGTTTTGGGGGTCTTGCACAATTTACTGACAAGTGCCCTGACTCACCACAATTGTAACACATAACATTCTTTGCCTTACTGAACGATTTTATTCTTTGTTCGCTTTCACCCGCATTATGAAAAGGCTTTTCGTTTATCTTAATGCAATTTTGTAAAAAGTTCTTGCATGCTTCACGCATTTCTTTAACGGATACGAATTTTTGCGGAGCAATCGCCATTTGTAGTTCTCGATGTTTTAATCCTTCTCGGGCGTATTTCGTGATAGCCATCTCACTAAGATTATGACGTCGTCCTAGCGCAGAGACACGAAAAATGAACTCAGTTATTGTTTCGTTTTGCCTTCGAGCAACGCGCGACATATTGTAATGTATATCCGCTTCATCGTATTCGCAACCGAACTCGGTGACAAGCTCATTTGAGAACTCCTTCCAAGTAGCATGCATTCTTGGTGATGCGTCCACCCACATGCGCGCTACACCCTTCAAACGGCTATACACTGCAAGAAGCACACTTTTTTCGGGCCACGCATATACAGACATAACAGCTTCAACATGTTCGACAAATTGCGTAGCCGTAATAGAATTTTCATTCGTTGGGTCGAATTCGGGCAAGACTTCTGCGATTTCACGTATAGAATGCGTGTTACGGTCCTTACTAGGCATTTCTGAAGTACTGTTTTGAGTGTTTCTAACGTTATTCTGGTTAATGGCTACTTGTTGAACCATTTGCCGCAGTTCGCTAATTTGTTTTCTCAATTCTTAGTTTTCACTCCGCAATTCATCATTATCGTTTGTAAATTGCAAAACTACGCCGCTTGACTTCACGTGTTCAGTTAATCGTGCAACTAATTCCGCCTTATTGCCTGTAGTTGATAACTCTTGCTGTTGTAAGAAGTCCTTCAACTGTTCCTTCGTCAGTGATTCGATGGTCACCATCATTACGTATATATAGTTTAATTACTCCACTCTCGATTGTGTCATTCGCTGTCAAACATAGGTTAGGTGACCACATGTTGTTAACAATTTTAATGTGCCCAGTTGTGCGTTTCGGATGTAGGTTAACATATATTATATTATATTATATATATATATATTATATTATATTATATTATATTATATTATATATATATATATTATATTATATTATATATGTATATTATATTATATTATATATATATATTATATTATATAATCCCTTTCCCCCCAGACAGGTAGAGTAAATACAGCAAGGGACCTAGAGCAAAGCCGACACATCAATATTTTTCCCAAAACCGATACCGAGAAGTACAAGACAAAGGGCATAAATTTCAAAGGACTTCACGAGGCATCATCAGGCATCAAGAGTCGCGTACATTCAACCTGGAAATATTTGGTTCTGATCGACCAAAAGTTTTTTCTATGGGAAATGTCAACACTGTTCGTTATTTTGGGGATATTCGACTGCTGAATACCAATGTGTGAAGTCAACAGTTTTAATTGGTATTGATTATGCATATCTTAGATTTCCATTTGAGGTAATGCAAGGTGGCAATCCTATCGCCAGCAAAACAAAATTGCTTATGGCGCAAGAGGAGACATCGTCCAAAGAAGGAGACATAGTAGAAGAATATTTTGATACAAAAAACTTCAGTGTGCAAAATATTCAAAAAATACCTGAGTCAGGAGATAATAAAAGAGTCAAATCAATGATCAATAGAGACATATGAGATAGGTCTGTTGTCGAAGACAGTAGTGTCAAACCTACGTGAAAGCTTTGAGATGGCGAGCATCCGTTTTAGATGTATTGAAAAGAAGATGAATATCTATCCACAATTTGTTCAGCGATACCGAGCTGAAATGAATAACTCTTTTGCCAAGAGTTATGCTAAAGTCTTAACAGAAAATGAGGTACTAAATTGTCGGGTTTCTGTATAGTACATAAGTGTAGTAAACTTATGCAATAGTGTTTGATGCTGTCGCCAAATGGAGTTTTGCTCAACTCACAACTACTTAAAGCAAGCAAAGCCATTACTTGATATTTTGTTTAAGTTGCAATGAGGTAAAATCGGAGTAGCCTCAGATATAAAGAAGTAGTTTCCCATGTGCAAATATGTGCAGAAGAATAGTATGCCTAGCGATTTCTACGGCGAATCAAAGCAGTTGACTTAAAATTCATAAATATCCATGATTATTGGCGATATATTTTGCCAATGTTGTGCAGAATATAATAATATAGCAACTAAGAGGAGCAAATTGATTGAGTTTTCATAAGCACATTAATTTTTAATTGGTTAAATTCTTTACCGAACTAAAGATATTCGAAATCGTTCAAAAAGAGAATTTTGCTAACGAAATCTATCAGCTACATGAAAGTAAGTCCATTTAAAAGAGTATCTCAATTTACAAATTACAGCCATATCTGGACGAGTCTGATTTACTACGCTTACATGGACATTTCGATGAAGCTAAGTGCCTCCTGCTAGATGCCCGACGTCTCATCTTGATACCACCCAGTCATGTCATCACAGAATTAATTGTAAGCCATTTTCAAGAAAAATCACATCACCAAGATATAGCTGTGGCTATTATTAAAATTTGTTAAAGTTTTGGGTACTAAATATTAAAATGGTCTTAAAAAATGTTTAACGTAAATGCCCTACCTGCATTTATGTTTAGTTTGAGAGAACCAAACTTTCACCGCCGATGATGGATCAATTACTTAAAGATATCGTCACCCCATGTATACACTTATTCACATATACTGGTAAGAACATGTTTGGTCCAGTTATTGTTGCCATTAGTCACGGGCAAGAAAAAAGTTGCAATTTTGAGATTTTTTCCTTTCTTACAACAAAATATGCCCTTTTGGAGACTGTTGAAGACATGTCAACGAACGCCTTCATTCTTAGCTTGCAGAATTATCAATAGGCGAGGTACCCCAGTCCGCATTCGATTTGAAAATGGTTCTAACTTTATAGGGGCGCAAAAGTATTAGGAACAAACAAGAAAATGTTAGACGCCGATCGCACGCAACAAGAGGGTTCCAACAACTACATCGAGTGAATTTTAAGTTTCCCTGCCAGTCCCAGCACTGTTAATTGTTGAGAACGATTAATTCGTATCAAGCAACGTCCACATTTTAAAAAATACAACACCAAGAGTTGAGACACTTTGCAGCATTCTCATAGAAGCTGAAAATATTTACTGATGTTCCGGTTAAAGCTGAAGACGCCGATTCGATCACGTCAACTCATTTTTTGATACACTAAATCTACTCAAACGCCACAGTCATATGATGAAAAAATATGTTTAAGCAAGCAGATCGCATAAAACTTGAAAACTTGTTTGCATAAACAATGGGTTACACCATATTTGCTGCGCCTTAGGCATCGCCCAAAAAAGTATTCCAAAGCACTTTCACTACGAGTCGATCACCTAGTCATAGTATGTAATCCGGTCGCGTGGAGAAGCTAATGACAATAAGGACGCCTAACTCAAGTAATGCGTCAAGCCGTGGACGGTCAGGTCCTTATAGTAGAAGTAAAAACGGCAATAGAAGTAAATAGAACTCTATCGCAGTCTTATCATTTGTTAAATTCAATTGATTTATGAAGAGCTCCCTCTTCGTAAAATTTCCCCTTCACTATACATATGTGTTTTAAGCTGTCATTTTGAGGACGTCAGTTAGTTTGCTGTAAGTTGGAGGGAAATGATACACATGTTATGAACTTAAACAACGTGTTGATATTTCGTTGGCTTGACTCGAACTGAACTAATAGAATCAAACAAAAGCTAACCAAACCAAATCAATTATGCTGAGATTTGCATTCTTAAGATAAGTGCGGTGATGTTTGTCATATGTAAGTTGATTCCTATAGGAGGAGTCTTAGGGGTGTAGTCTTAGATCGCCTCCTCGTGGTGCACCCTGGGTAACGCCAAATGATCTATTCCCCCCCTGGATGCTGTCCTCTTCAGGGGCTCCAGCATCCTCTGGTAACGACCGTTTTTGTCCTCGGACCACGCTTCTTCAGATCCTCTTTTTGTATTTGATCGCTTTGGGCTGGTGGTTACAGGTTTCTGGACCTAGCTGTCTTCTGACACGGTAGCACCGGGGTGAAACTCGCGTGTGAACGGCTCCAGGCTAAGTCTGTGGCTGCCTCCGTCCCGTTAAAACCCTGGCAGGCCTCAAGGTACGTTCTGCATCCGTCACCATTAAGTTGGTCGTGTAGGTTCGGTTGTAGCTTAGCTCCCGATTAGTTCTGGTCTGGCTCTGAGCACTTGCTCCCATAAGGACCTGTGCCAACCCTCGCATGGCCTCCCTGCATTTGCATAGATAACCATGGGACTTCTTTTTATCAGGAACTACACTTACGGGTGTCAGATAGCGGCTTTGAGTGGGGACCCTTTTAGAATGAACAAAGCAAACAAAAATTCCAATAAACCTTTTAAAACTCCTAACTCTTCAGGGGGGCGTTCAAGCCTTATAAGGCAAGCGCCTATTAACAACCAACCGTCTAGAGCTTCTGCTCAGGCGGTTCGTACAAGCAATGCTCCATCATTGAACACCTTGGCAACTGTGTCAGGTGGTAATGCTGCCTCCTGCTCTTCTGCTAGTGCTGCGGTCAAAGCTAATGCGCCAACCGCACCATCTGCAATTAGTGCCAACTCAACTTCTGGTACACGCTCCCACCCTAACCCCTCGACAAGGGCGTATAGGGCGCGAAGGTCAGCATACCGCATTCTCTCTAGGCTCAATGCCGCGGATCCTTCTTCGCTCTCAGAGAGCGATAAGGCATCACTAAAGTGGGCAAGGGAAAATGTCAATTTCCGGCCCTCCGGCATCGCTTCTACCTCTGCACCTGCTCAGAAACGACAAAGGTCGATTGAGCAGGCTGGGAAATCAATTTCGACTAGCGCTCCTAAGCGCCCCAAATTTGGTCCTCCGAGACCCCCATCGCTGTCTAAACCTCTCAGCGAAATAGTTAAAGAGAGCCTGACCTGGGCCATCATCGATGCTGGCAACAGTGATGGCACCATCTCTCCAGCAAACTGGAAGAAAGTCGAACGGGCTCTCCTCAAAATATATATGGAAATCATTGCCCTCAACCCTGGGCCATCTCCCAGCTGTAAAGACGCTGGATGGTACCAGGGTCATATTAAAATTATTGCCTGCTCAGATCAGCGCTCCGCGGATCTTTACAAGCAGGCGATCGAGAAGGTTGGGGAACTCTGGCCCGGCGCACAGCTCAGAGCTGTTTCGGTGGAAAATATCCCACAACGCCCCCGCTCCAAAGTGTGGCTTCCTTCGGAGCTTACTTCCCCTGAGGAAATTCTTTCCCTTTTAAGGGCCAGTAACACTGACCTCCCCACGCATAACTGGAAAGTTGCGAAGGTCAGTGACCCCAAGGGCGACTTTGTCGAAGCCGTCGTAGTCCTCAACGAAGAATCTTTGGCACCCCTTCAAGCCCGAAATGGGGTGATTCATTATGTCTTCGGTTCGGTCACTCTACGTGTTTACAAAAGTGACTCTCAAGCCGCTAAGCAACAACCTTCTGGGGGGGCACCTTCGGAAACGATCTCCGATGACGGAATCGGTTCCATCCCAGTTCCAATCAACCCCGATGTAGGAACTTCCGATTTAATCGGCACTCCTTCCTCCGAAGACGGAGGTAGCGTAATCTCGTCTTCCGAACTGGTCGGCGAGTTCTTTACAGGTATGGCGCTTTCCCGGGAGACCTCACCGATGTCGGATGAGGATGAACTGGACAGTACCATAGTTGAAAAACAACTAAGCTGTTGAAGGTCGTCCAAATTAAGCTCCAACACTCCAAAACTGCTTCGGCAGCCCTTACCCTCCGCCTAGCTGAAAAAGGAGAGGACATAATGCTGATCCAAGAACCTTGGATTGTAAACAATCGGGTTTGTGGACTGAATACAAACGGCTATCGGTTAGTATTCACAGAAGGTCAAGGTAAACCAAGATCTTGCATTCTAGTAAAAAATAACATTAATGCCTTTTTACTCCCTAGGTTCAGTGACAATGACAATGTAGCCATGGCCATCGAATACGACTCCAAGGCCCTTTGGATTGTCTCAGCATATATGGCACACGATCACGGTGCCACTCCGCCACAGGACTCCCTCAAGCTTCTGGTGTCAGAGGCAAATAACAGGAGGATCCCGGTGATCATAGGAGCTGACGCCAACGCACATCACGAGATGTGGGGTAGCACAGATACAAACGCGAGAGGTGAGTGTCTATTTGATTTCATTCTTGCAGGAAACTTGGTGATCGCTAACATAGGTAGGGAGCCAACCTTCATGAACTCAATTAGAAGGGAAGTTCTTGATATCACCATGATTAGCGAGCACTTCTCTTATTTTATTACTAAGTGGTCCGTATCGCAAGATTACTCCTTTTCTGACCATAGGTACATTAATTTTGATCTAAATTTTGTGGAGAACCCTGAAATGAACAGATCATCTAAACCAATAAATAGGAAACGTACTGTATGGCCCATTTTTCGAGCCAACCTGGAATCCAACTTACAGTTGGACCCTCCCACTATTCTCAACTGTTCCGATATAGATCGAGCGGTTGACCTTCTCACATCAGCATTTAGATGCGCCACAAATGCGGCCTGCAAGCCACCCGAATTTAGAGGCAAACCCAAACCTCCATGGTGGAACTTGAATATTGCAGACCTCCGAAAAACCTGTAGAAAACTTTTTAACGATGCTAAATCAACAGGTAACTGGACTCCATATAAAGTGAAACAAAGAGAATTTAAATACGCCATTAGGCGGGCCAAAAGGGCAGCTTGGAAAAATTTCTGTGGCAACATAGAATCATCTTCCGAGTCAAGCCGACTGCGCAAAATCCTCAATTCTACCCATAAGACACTCGATTGTATCCAGGCTCCAAATGGTCAATGGACCAACTCCAGTAAGGAAACTCTCGACACCCTTCTGGACTCGCACTTCCCAGGGAGTATAGCCTCTGATGCTGACTTATCAACTCAAATCAGCTTACCCCCTCTAAATAATCCTAAACCGTTTCAAGTGACCAACACTCAAATAAAGTGGGCTATCCAAACTTTTAAACCATATAAATCTCCAGGTCCGGACGGAATTATTCCCGCAGATATTCAACAGGGCGAATTCGTAATCCTCCCCTGGCTTCTAAGCATTTACAACAGTTGTATTAAGCTTATGTATGTTCCAAGCTGCTGGAGAGTGGCTCGAGTAATATTCATTCCCAAAGCAGGAAAAATAACTCACTGCAGTGCCAAAGACTATAGACCAATCAGTCTGTCTTCTTTTCTTCTGAAAGTACTGGAGAGAGTTCTTGATCTGCAATCAGGAACAAGATAAACCCAGCGCTCTTATCTCCATCACAGCATGCTTATACTAAAGGCAAGTCTGTCGATACTGCGCTTCATGCACTCATCTCGCAAGTTGACCATTCCATCTCTCTCAGGGAATACACACTTGCCACCTTTCTCGATATTGAGGGCGCTTTCAACAATGTCTGCCCCAATGGTATCATAAAATCCCTCTCAAAGTTAAATCTCGACAATAGTCTGGTTAAATTTGTAGAGGCCCTTCTCAAAACTAGGATTATCACATCCGACATCGGAAGTGTTCAATCCTCCAGAGCAGTCTGTCGGGGAACGCCACAAGGTGGGGTTCTCTCTCCTCTTCTATGGAACATAGCGGTTAATTCGTTGTTAAAACTTTTGGAACAATCCGGATGTAGTGTTATAGCTTATGCGGACGACATTGCTATTGCCTCATCTGGCAAATTTCCCCAAGTTCTATCCAATGTTATTAACTCTGCGCTCCTCATTGTAACTGAATGGTGTAGGGAATTCGGTCTGGATATTAACCCTGCAAAGACAGAGGTTATTCTCTTCACCAGGAAATATAAAATTCCGACATTTTCCTTACCAAAGATAAAGGGCGTTACTCTAAATTTAAGTTCGAACGTCAAATATCTGGGTATAATTTTGGACTCTAAACTCAGCTGGAAAGACAACTTGGCTGAGAGAGCCCGCAAAGCGGTATGCGCCACCTACTGTTGCAGAAGAGCTATAGGTCGTAGTTGGGGGCTCAAACCGTGCATTATACTCTGGCTCTATTCAGCTGTTATCGAACCAATTCTTCTGTATGGGGCTGCTTTCTGGTGGCAGGCAACTGAAAAAGCATGCCACACCAAATTAATTGACAAAACTAGGAGGATAGCCGCACTACAAATCACTGGTGCTCTTCGCTCTACCCCCACGCAAGCTCTTTTCGCTATGCTTCATTGGTTGCCATCTCGGCTTCTGGTAAAACAGCAAGCCAAAATAGTTGCAACTAGGCTCAACGCCCTCTCCTGCTGGTCAAGAACTGATATAGGCCACGCGATCATACTGAATCAGGATCTGCCAACTCCCGTCTCTATTGACTACATGTGTTGTTACCCAGACCTAATTAGGGGTTCGAATCTCTTATACCTAGCAGGGAGGACTGGATCCTTGAAAGAGCGATCCCTCTCCAAACGGTTGACATTTACACGGACGGCTCCAAAATAGATAAACGAGTCGGCTGTGGCATTTTCTCTGAAAGACTGGGTCTCAGCATCTCGCTTCGACTTCCGAACCACTGTAGCGTCTTTCAAGCCGAAATAATGGCAATTCACCAAGCTGTAAAATGGGTTCTTTGCAATCGAACATCCGATTTACCAATCTCAATTTTTTCTGATAGCCAAGCTGCCATCAGATCACTGATGGGCACCTCAGCCACATCAATCACAACTCAAGACTGCCGTGCTTCACTAAATGACCTAGCTAGGTTTGTTAGGGTCAAACTTATTTGGGTTCCTGGGATTTCCAGGGATATCACAGGAAATTGTAGGGCAGACGATTTAGCCAAGGCAGGTGCTCTTCTCCCTAACATTAACCTCTCTGATATAGGCGTCCCTCTTGCTACAGTTAAACTGGCAATCATACAAAAATACCTGAGTATAGCCAAGCAATACTGGGCTGACGAACCTCAATGTCAGATTTCTAGGTTGACTTGGCCGAACTTTGACAAGAAGAGAACCCGTCAGCTACTTCAACTAAGACGGAACCTGCTCAGCACTACGGTATCTGTGCTGACGGGACACTGCGTAATAGGAAGGCATGCTATGAGACTGGGTCTCCCCTTTAATGACTTTTGTAGAGGCTGTGGCTCTGAGGATGAGGAGGAGACTGTACTCCATCTCATGTGTCAGTGCCCTTCCCTAGCCAGAAGAAGATTAAAAATCCTTGGATCTCCTTTTCTAACTGACCTGACTGAGTTGTCATCCTGTAATGTTAGGGACCTAGCCAGGTTCATAGAACTGTCAGGTTGGTTTTCCTTTGCATAATGGGGGAGTCGTTACCTTTCTTTCGGCGTTAAATGTATACTGATTAAATCTATATACAAATAACGTTACTCCTGTGGTACCACAACGGGCCTTTATTTGTGCTTAAGTGGGCTTTTTGGGATACAAGGCCGCCACTCCAACCTATACCTATACCTATAGGAGGAACCATAAGCGCAACATTGTTCATAAGGAAAACAAAGAATACTGTGTGCAGCTTGACTACTGTGTGATCATGGCTGAATCAGCATAAACAGTAAGTAAGCGCCAATGAAAAACTACAATATATCAGCTCTCTCAGCTTGCGATCGGCACCTACAAAATTTGTCGCATTGTCGCAATAGATTTTTTCTGGGAGTCCTCGTCTTCCGGCAAACCTTTTAAGACAAAAAATAAAACAGTTGTCAGATCTGTTACAAGTTCTAAATGTATAGCCTTTGACGTGAAACAAACAAACACTGCGATATACATTTTAACTGGTGGTCGACCACGAATTTTCAAAGTAGTGTATACAGGCCCACAAAAATCGACACCGCTAATTAAAAAGGGTCGTAGTGCCTTTAACCGATCTGCAGGTAAGTTTCCCATTACTTGGGTCAACAGCTTAGGTTTGTATCGAAAACAATGTATGCATGCTCTTACGGTTTTACTGCATGCCTTGCTTGAATTTATGACCCAAATTTTTTCACGAAGCAGCACTTCTAAGGCTTTTGGACCAGCATGACAATTGGTTGTATGGAGAAATCGTAAATAAATCTCGACAAAATGCAATTTTTAGGTAACAGCAAGGGAAATTTTGAATCATAAGACAGTGGTGCGTTTAGTAGACGACCTCCTACACGAAGCAAATTGCATGTTCGAGAACCATCTTGGACTGTATGAATGAATGGAGTTAGTTTTTGAATGCTGACTGGTAATTTATGCGACTTCTTCATTTTTTCGATTTCTTCCTTGAATTCGTGATTTTGAATAAATTCAACGATTTTCAAGAATGCCCAATTAAGCTCCTTTGATGTCGGAATAAAAGCGTTGGCTCTCTCATTTTTCTTAGTGATAAAACGTAGAATGTACGCGAAAATTCTCAGCAGTCTTGGGTAAGATGATTGGCTACAGATTAGTTTTGAAATGACATTAGGTTCAATTTCAACTGCTAAAAGTCCGACCTTGACCTTTCGTTTCTCTAAACTTTTCTCATCTGTTGATAGTGGAAAATGACTATTTTTTGGCCAGTTAGTGGCATCTTGAAGCAAATATGATGGGCCACGAAACCAAATTGAGTGAATCAACTCATCTACATCACATCCTCTGGAGACTAAGTCTGCAGGATTTAGCTTTGATGGAACGTGTCTCCAAAGAACTTCGCTCGTCCATTCTTGGATCTCTGCCACTCTGTTTGCTACAAATGTTGCTAAAGTAGATGGGTGAGTTTTAATCCAATGAAGTGTAATTTCAGAGTCCGTCCAAAAATAAACATCCCCGATTTCCCAAGTAATCAACGGCTGAATTCGAGACCATAGTTTAGCCAATAAATGAGCGGCACACAGCTCTAATCTGGGTAATGATTTTGTGCTTAGAGGAGCAACCTTAGATTTGGCAGTTAACAATTCAGAATGAATCCCATTCGAATCATGAATTCGGACGTAGATGCAACAGCCGTACGCTCTCATTGACGCATCGGCGAAACCGTGAATATCGCATTTTATATTTGAATGAATATGAACATACCGCGGATTGGAAATAGAGTCCATCTGAGTCAGGTTGCTTTTAAATGCTTGCCAGCTAGAATCGAGATGCATAGGAATTGACTCAT